TTATAAGTTTTATATTGTTGCTTGGCAGACAACTCGAATTAGTTGTGCCTAGGTTGCGATCAAACGAAAAACTGATATGACAATATGTAAAGCGAACGAAACGAAACTCCAATAAGACGCAGCGGCAGTCAATGTAAAGCAAAGCAATGCAGAAAGCAAAGGTCCAACGAAAGAGAGTGGGCAGCAGCTTACAAAGAGCGCGCAAAACTATTTGCTCTTAGGCTGTAGTTATGATTGTTATCTTCTGTTGTTGGATGCTGCCCGCAGCCGTCGGTGTTGTCTCTGCTGTTAGTTGACCAAACATTCTCCCCCTTTTGGAAGGCAAGGGCTTTCAACATCATCCTGTTTGGGCAGCAAACACAGCTTTCGTACAGCTCTGCGTATGACTCCAGTCGCAGTTTGAAGCACAGCAACTCTGGATACCCCATCAGATCCAGATATCAGCTCTTGCACTCTAGCTAGTGGCCACTTCAGCGGCGGTAGATTCTCATCCTTTACAAGGACAACATCGTTAATGGAGAGTCCAGGCTAAGGAGTGCGCCATTTGGAGCGCTGTTGAAGATGCGTTAAATATTCTTCGCGCCACCGGGCCCAGAATACTTGTTGGAGATATGTGACGCGCTGAAAATAGTTAAGCCGATTGAAGTTAAGCTGCCTTAGATCGGGCTCAATGTATGATGAAGATGGCGCTGTACCCAGGAAGTGCGCAGCAACCAATGTGTGCCATGATGCAAATGGTCCACAGTTAGTTCAGTTCCTCGGATTCGATTTACAAATTTGTAAATATAAGCAAAGACCCGTTGCAACGAAAACGAATTGATGAACTTGCAGCCAGTCGAGAGATCCAGTTGCGATGCAGTTCCGAGGAATACCTTGTTACCTCGAAGTTCTGGTAAGAATTCGACAGGTACACAGGAGGCAGGCCACTCTTCCTTTCCCTTACTGAGAAAACTCGGACCGTGGGCCCATAATGGAGACCGGGAGAGCTCACTAGGCAGCGCTCTTCGTGAAATTATATTCGCCGGGTTTAATTCATTGGGAATATGATGCCATTCCATACCAGTGGTGAGCTCTTGGATGGCTGCGACTCGATTGGCAACGAAAACATTGAATTTCGAAGCATCATTGCGAATCCAAGCCAAAGTCACGGCAGAGTCTGACCAACAGTAATACCGACAAGTTGAGCCAATAATGCAGCTCCGCAGAGTTCCAGCTTTGGTACAGTGATGGTTTTCACAGGCGCGACACGCGATTTGGAGCATAAGAGACGCACGCTGGTGATGCCATGGCACTCCATAGGCGCTTAGGATTACACCACAAAATCCGTGAATCTCCACTGTACTGTCTGATGAGAGTGCTCGACGGGGATACTGGAATCGCTGAGTATACTCAAAATCATCGTAGAAGTTGACCCAGGCTGTACTTAAGTGTACGGGCAGGCTCTCATCCCAGTCCAGTTTTTCTCTCCTGAGATCCTGCATAAAAATTTTAGATTGTGTTATAACGGGACCAACAAGACCAAGGGTGTCGTAAAAGCGAGCAATTGCGGATAGTATTAACCGTTTTGTCAGTCTGGAGGGCAGCCTCAGTGAAGAGAAGGAGAAAAGGAAACAGTCTGAAGCGGGATCCCAAACGAGGCCTAACGTTTTCGTGATGTCACTGCCACCGTCAAACTTAAACATCAGTTGTGTCGCTAGAAGACCATTTTCGCGGCTTAAAGTTCCCCTTGGCGAGTAGTCCAGACGTTTGCTTCAATATCTCAACTGCTTCTTGAACACAGCTACCTCCAGAAATGAGATCATCCACGTAGAAATCTCTTTTAACAATGACAGAGCCAATAGGGAAAGTTTTCTGCTCATCCATGGCCAGTTGGTGCATAGATCGCATTGAGAGAAGCGATTCCTGTTTTGTGCAGTAGGTGACCGTGTCTAATTTGTAAATCTGTATCTTCTGATGCCGAGACTCACGCCACAGGATACATTGAAAATAACTGTCTGCGGGTTCGACTCGTACGCATCGATACATTTTGCATATATCGCCGGTCAGGGCGACTGCAAATGTACGGAACCGCATCAGTATCGAAAACAGCATCGGTTGGATGGTAGGACCTGCCATCAGTGCATCATTCAGCGAGTGTCCAGAGGAAGTAGCTGCCGAGCCATCAAACACGACCCTTAGCTTGGTTGTAATGATATCCTCCTTCAGCACGCAGTGATGTGGCAGGTGGCAACTTGCATTGGCCCAGTGCAGCTAAGGTAACAAGTGACATGTGACCCATGTCAAGATATTCCTTAATGAATGCCGCATACTGGGTTTTCAAAACTGGATTGCGGTCTAGCTTTCTTGCTAAGTTCAGGAATCGACGAACCGCCTGTTGATAGGAGTCACCCAGCTGATACATGCCTAGTCGAAGCGGTAAACGAACTAAATACTCGCCAGTCGTCAGACGTTTAAGATTGGCCTGAAAGTGTGCCTCGCAGTCGCGTTCCTCCTTGTTTGGTTAGGACTCAGGCTCGGTGCAGCATTCCAATTCCCAAAAACGACGGATTAATTCATCAATCTGTGCATTCGGCTGCAGATGCGAGTCTACCAGCAGATCTAGATTCACCATTGATCTCATGGCCACGAGTGATGATTTTCCTGCATGTGAAGCACCTCCCGTAGCCACCCAACCAAGGCAAGTCGTTAGTAATACCGGTAGTCCAGTAGCTAGTTTAATCTGGCCGACGCATAGCAGATCGAAGAACAGACTGGCTCCAATCCACATGTCGATTTGCTGAGATTTAAAGAATTCAGGATCAGCTAGTTGTATATTTGATGGGATGTTCCATGATACAGGGTCAAGAGTGAAGCCAGGCTGATTATCGATAATGGATGGAACAATCAACGCCGGAATGCATGTAGAGTACTCCGACACTCGAGATTTGACATTGATGTTGACCGAAAATCCATCAGACGCAAATGCTGCACCACCAATGCCAGAGACGATTGCTTTTGATTTGAATTTTCGCAGCTGGATCTGATGAGCAAGACGAGAGGTGATGATGAGACCTGAGACCCAGAGTCGAGCAACGCACGGCAGGGCACCAAGGAGCCAGAGCGATTTTTCACATTGATGATGGCAGTAAGCAGGACAACATCGTGCTTGAGATGCTGGGCGGTAGTGAGTGGCGAAGATAAAATTGCCGCCAAGGTGTTTTGGGATGACGAATAAGTTTCGGTATTTTGAGCATTATTTGAGCTAGAAGCAGCGATGTGACTGCTTGGGTTGCCAAGATGCAACAAGCTATGATGCTTACTTCCACAAACTCTGCAAGCGCTGGAGCTGCAGACTCTCAGCTGATGTCCCCTTTGCAAGCATTTTTGCAACTAATTAATACTCACTGCTTGTGTGACAGCGAAATTCAAACACTTAGATTTGTTTTCAAACGTATATATTGCCGCGCAGGGCACTTATTAGAATTTATAAGTTGTATATTGTTGCTTGGCAGACAACTCGAATTAGTTGTGCCTAGGTTGCGATCAAACGAAAAACTGATATGACAATATGTAAAGCGAACGAAACGAAACTCCAATAAGACGCAGCAGCAGTCAATGTAAAGCAAAGCAATGCAGAAAGCAAAGGTCCAACGAAAGAGAGTGGGCAGCAGCTTACAAAGAGCGCGCAAAACTATTTGCTCTTAGGCTGTAATTATGATTGTTATCTTTTGCTGTTGGATGCTGCCCGCAGCCGTCGGTGTTGTCTGTGCTGTTATTTGACCAAACATGATCTATTTATAATAAATAATAACTATAGAATTAAAATAAAACAATTAGCAACTTAAGCTGTCAATAACATTAACATTAATAACGACATCGGACTCGCCGGTATATAGCAAGCATTACCCCTATCCTGCTTCTCTAAGGGGAGAAGAATAACAATTAAATCAGTTCTTGGGCGACGGCATTATAAGAACTTCACGGTCGCCGTACAATGCACCCGTATGCGTGGTTCCTAAAAAGAACGATGCTTCAGGAGAAAACAAATATCTTATAGTCAACCACTATAAGAAACTAAATGGCGTAATAATTTCGGATAGGTACCCGATCCTTGAAATCAGAGAAATAATCGCACATTTGGACGAGACAAATTATTTCTGTGTGCTCGATATGAAGAGCGATTTTTACCAAATTCCACTCAAAGAGAGAGATATAGAAAAAACAGCACTTGCAGCATTTTATTTATTTATTTATAAATGGGCGACAAAATCAAATGTCTGCCTAGTTATTTTATACATCAAATTATGAAAATTAAATTCTAAAATCCTAATTAGAATACACAATTTTCTAATAGCATCACCGACCGATGGAAGTGTTTTATTTTCCCGTCCGGCCAGTTCTGCCCTTGCAGGTAAAAAGGGCGGTGTTACTAGAGAAAATAGAGTTCTTAAGTAAATATTAAAATTAATCTTAATTTACTAAATTATTTTAGGAAATGCATTAACAAAAAAATAAAGAGGCTTTAAGTAAGGTAAGGAAATTTTAACTATAAAGAAATACTCATAGGAAATAACCGACCCGGTGGGAGAAGTTTATAGCCTGTCCAGCAAGCTATGGAAATGGTCAGTGAGTTCCCGAAGGAATCCTGAAAGCAACGATTTTATTTGGGAGTAAACTATTGTAAATTTTACATAGCACCCGAAAAGATTTGTGCATGGTGTAATCGGTTGTGCACGTAGATAGAAATAAGGGACGATAATTCCTGGTAGATCTAGACGGAACAGAGAATTGAAGACGTCCTAACAGAAAAGAAGAATCTATGTCGCCAACAATCAACTTATGTAGGAAGACAACACCGAGGATTATCGTACGGTTGGTTAACGACGGAGTATGAAGAATCAGAAGCCTGCTGGAGTAAGATGGCAACCGAAGATTTTGGTCACAATTTATACTTCATATGGCAAGAAGCAGCAATTGCTTCTGAGCTGATCAATACGATTGGCTATTGTTATACTGCGGAGACCAGATGCAAGGATAGGGCGAACAACTGTATCGTATAAAAAAGTCGAGATTTTAGAAATATCAAATCTAATTATTGGCAGCTACAGAAAATAGTAGTTAAGATTTTTACTTAAATTTCTTATTGTTTTAGTAGATCGTCTCCGCTTGGTGATAATGGAACTTGTATTTTTATGCCTCTATTTTGGCTCAGGGCTGCGAGAATCGTCGTTTTATTTTTAATTTTTTTTGTTTTTTTTATATGCTTTTGCTTCTAACTTGCGCAATGTTACTCCCGGATTGTTTTTCGTTTTACGCATAAATACTTTTCGTAATTATTTTTGTACCTTAATTCACACACAATTCACAACATTCTTCCCGTGGATTTCGTTTTTACAGGTAGTTGGACGCCAGTCGGCAAGTCGCATGTTACGCTTCCGAGACGATCGCGGCCAATGATTCAGTGACCAAGGGCAGCCTGGTCAGCACTATTACATTGTATTATAGTTTAGTGGTTTATCGTTTACTTATATTAACTTACAGTCCCAATTAAAATTATATTTATAGGTACTTAAACCCTTTTTAACCATTTACATAGGTTCAGGGTATAAGAAACAAGCAAAACAGACATAATCAAAACTCGGTTATCGTAAAAACAGCTACGTTTTTATTTCCTTACAATTATTTACTTGAGCACCCATTATTTTTAACTTTGAAAATCCGTGCTAGAATTGAGATAATACTTTAAGCATTCGAAGGTTCAGTTAAGCCCATCCTTCAACAATAGAGACTTTTAGGTCCTTCACATTTCTTCTATTGCTTCGCATTTGCATAAACTGAAAAAAGCTTGTGAGAACAAGGCTGTGTGCATGAGAGCGTTATCGTGTTGAAACAACTGTCTCCAAATTATTCTTCTCCAAAATTGATCAGTTCTGAATCTGAGAGCTCAACATAATTTTCTGCATTCATGCTATGTATCCCGAAGCGTACGTCATGGTGCCCAAACATAGCATCATAGGAGATTCACATTTAAAGCTCCTGACAGAAGTTTTCATTCATTTTTTTATTATCGTTAAAGAATTTGTTGTATTCGTTTAGTGTTTTTTACTGTGAACTTATTTCTTTGTTAACGCAGACTCATTGCATGAATTTTTTTATTTTGAAATCAATAGATATAGGCGAGTTCAATTGACGCTTTTTTCCTCGTTGTCATCTTCTTCACCTACTTCTAACATAACTTGCATAATTTTACGTTTGAGTTTTTTTCGCGAAATTGAAGAGTTTAAATTTCGCAACTCATTTGCTATTAATTCACCAAATGCATCCCATTGATCCCGAATACTTGAATGTCTAGATTCCGTTAGCGCCACACAACTTTGTCCTCCGCTCTGAATGAAACTTGGAGAACTACTGTAAGTTTTTAATGAAGAACTCCGTTGTACTTCACAAGTTCCTTGTTCTTTTGCATTGGCGTCAGTTGTGTCCTTGCAACTCAATATTTGTAGCTGTATAATATCTTCAAGCTGGTTTTCTATAGAGGATATTTGAGGTTCTGTGTTTTCGTTGAACGATGAAATCCTATGTCTTTTTACCATTTTCTGCTAACAATAAAAAAAGTATTCAAGAATTTACTTATTTATCTGGTTTGGAAATATATACGAATAACCTTGATTTTTGGTTGATGATATCCAGGCCGAGGTTCAATAAAAGGTTTCAAAAACATCAACGTCTCAAAGTGCTCCCAGCGGCGTTCTTTTGGTGAAACTACTTTTTTTCCTCCCGATTTTTCTAAGCGTGCTTCAATCTTTTTCAATTCCGAATTAAACTGGTTTCGTAGGTTGTGAACTTTTTTCCCATAGTCAATTTTTGAAATTTCGAGAGCTGTGCATATGCGATTTATGGCTTTGTTTCGACAACCTTTGTTTTTGTATAACTCCGAATAATGATTCCACAAACAATCAGATGCACGATAGAGCTCAATTAGTTTGTAAATTTTTTCTCGTGTCCAAATGGTATGCTGACCACCTCTTCGTTTGGTTGTGGAACTTAAAACGGTTGTTGAATTGTGTGTCATTTTACTTATGTAGTTAAAAACGTTTAGAAAAAACAATATAGACTCAGAGGCTGAACTAATGATTTGATTATCGTACTTGCTTAAAAATATAATGGTAAACTGCACCTCATTTTAATAAAAAAGTTAGCAAATGTGTTTATTCTATATAAAATTAGTTTCTTCCATTCGGCACATCGCTATCTGTATCTCCAAATTAACATTAATTTTACGTGCGTCAAACTAGCAACGGTGAGTTAGCGTCGATTATTTGAACTTAGTTCCGGAACTGGAATCACTCACTTTTAAATGCAATTTCTTATGTTTTTATGCTCACAGCAATTGAAAATATAATGCTGAATGCTAAAAAAATTAAATTTTGTAATATTGGTAAACCAAGGGGTTTAATAATAAAGATTTTACCATTTTTATACAACTTAATTATGGGAAATGGCAGCAAAAAACGCATATTCGCGATTTAAACCTATAGTTTCACCTAGTAATCCGTGAATGAGTCTGTGAGCCGTTTTAAATATATTTAGATGGCCCTCTATGCACGCTTTCCCATTTTGTGTACCGTACAATTTTTGAAAAAATTATTTAATTATGAACCAACAATAAATAGTTAATTTTTTATTAGGTCTATCGAAATGTTAGTTTCTACCACTAACCAAATAACATATAGACCGGACAAACCGTACTTTTGATGGTGACATTCGTTTTTTTTGCGGCTGGTCCAAACTCGCCTTCGTTTTTGTTCGGGTTCGAGACATGCCCGCATGCTCTCAGAGCAAGAGAGTAAGAATACATATGGCCTGTGTCGTGGAACGGCAACGATGTCTTTTTACTCGCTCACTCTACAAGAAACTGCTTTGGCTTACTCTCATCCATATGATTTGTGCGATAGAACGGCATCGCGGTTTTTTCTCTCGCTCCCACTACAGGAAACTGCTTTGGCTTACTCTCAGTGCTCTTTCAATTTGTCTATGTACCGTTTAAATGTTTGTGTGTGTATGTGCCCGCACAAGCAAAAATGCCCACAAATTCAATTTTTCTCAAAATTCGGTGGCATTTCTTCCCTTTTGAGGGGAAGAGTAATATGAAATAATGAAAGGGTTTGCCCCGTCGATGCGAAATTCTTTCATTTTAGCTCGTTCTTCGTCGAAAGGGTACCTAAGCGTTGGCATGTGTGCATTTAAAAGTTTTTGGACTTGCTATTCACGCATACTTACGTATTTTGTATATGAATAGAAGCATTTATGCGCATGTGTGCCTGTTGGTCCCTGCCTGCCTGTCCGATCCAAATTTGACAATATTTTTGGACTTCTGAATTTCGAGCTCTACACACACACACACAGACACAAATGTGTGTGAATGGGCTGATCATGGGCGCAAACTTTAAAAATATCATAATTGGCACGAGTCTGACGCGCGCCCTTCTTTTTATGATTTAGGGTTTGAATTGAATAGCTTGAATATGATAAGTTAATAAAATCAATAATACAATAAAAATGTATGTATATACATACATATTTACATAATTGAAGATTTTAATTTTTGCACAAATATCCGCTGGTCATAAAATTATTTAAGTGATCAGTCACTTGACCTATGTACATACATATGCAAGTGCAGGTGCGGGCCAAAAGTTTACCCTTTCGGCCCAACGGTAATAAGGGGTCAACATTCATTCATCAATTCAAACCCTAAATCCAAGCCAATTATGATATTTTTAAATTTGGTGCTTTTAAGGCGAGATTTGCTAAAAAAAATGTGCGTCAAATTAGCGGCGGTGACTTAGCGTCGATTTTTGGTACTTGGTATCGGAAAAGGAATCGGTCACTTTTAAATGCATTTATTAATGTTTTTAAGCACAAAACCCAATAAATTTTAATGCAGAATTGCAAAATATTAAATTATTTACTGTCTACATTCATTTGTTTTGGAATTTTAATTTATAATATGGGTATATAAAGGGGTTGAAAAATGAGGTTTCCACCATTCTCTATATATCTTAATTCAGGGATAATGGCCTCGAAAACCGCATATACACGATTAAAGCCAATAGTTTCACCTAACCAACCTTGAAAAAATTATAGAAATCGATCAGCACGTTTTTAAGATATTTGTACAGCAGTGCAGCAACCTCGTTGCTAGCCCCATACAAAATGTTCGTAAAAAATTGGTCTTGCACTTAAACCCTAATATCTTTTCTCAGGGATAATGGCCCTCAATGCACGCTATACTAACTTGAAGATACATGTTTTAAGAAGCCTTACGCACTAATTCTAAACAAATCGATCAGCCAGTTTTTTAGAAAAATAATAAAATGTAAACACACCTTGTGTTGTTCTTTCAAAATGCCTATCGAGCTACTAGTTCCAACGTGAACCGAACCACTGCTTGGAATCAGTGTTGAATAATCTTATACAGTATTGAGCGGGAACAAATTAATTCAAAATATTTGTATATGGGAAAGAAAAGAAGTAATAAATGAAATAATTGGTATTTTACAATAAAACATTATCTTTGGAAATATAGACTGCTGCTAAATAAGGCAACAGTGCACTTATGTATTTATACACAGTACAATAACAAAAAGGTGGCAATATTTCAACATATTATTCATCCTAATTTTATTTATCCCCGATAATGGCCTTAAATGCACGGTAGTTAAACATATAGATCGCGAATTATCAATCATTTTGCTTTTTACATTAAGAAAATCGTCCAGCCAGTTTTCCTGAAATTCTCATATTTCTATTTTTTTCATTATTCCTTATGTTAATGCAAAAAAACTAACTGGCAATATTTCCTTAACATTTTTATTTATCAAAATGGCGACGATATTTTATCAATATTTATATTTAATTCCTCCGATAATGGCCTTAAATGCACGGTAGTTTAACATATAGATCGCGAATTATCCATCATTTTGCTTTTTACATCAAGAAAATCGTCCAGCCAGTTTTCAAGAAATTCTCATTTTTCTATTTATGCCCCATGTTATTGCAAAAAAACTAGCTGGCAATATTTCCTTAACATTTTTATTTATCAAAATGGCGACGATATTTTATCAATATTTATATTTAATTCCTCCGATAATGGCCTTAAATGCACGGTAGTTTAACATATAGATCGCGAATTATCAATCATTTTGCTTTTTACATCAAGAAAATCGTCCAGCCAGTTTTCATGAAATTCTCATATTTCTATTTTTTTCATTATTCCCTATGTTAATGCAAAAAAACTAGCTGGCAATATTATATTTCATGATGTGGTATGGTGGCAATATTGCAACATATTTCAAATGGTGGCAATATTTAAAAATGAGATACGAACGAGTGGGCTTTTTAATGGCGGGTTCTCCAAATATTAAAAAAAATAAAATTTTTAAACCTCGACAGCCCTCGTACATTGCTGCTCTTGCAAACAAAGTCGAGCAGCAACAAAAATTAATTAGGGCGCAGCAGAGGCAAATTAAAGCCATTAAAAAAGAAGTGGCAAAGTTATCGCAGCAGAGGCGTGTACCTCAGCCGCAGATGCAACAGCCGCCGCAGATGCGACAGCCACCGCAGATGCGACAGGCGCCGCAGATGCAACAGGCGGCGCAGATGCAACAGCCGGCACAGGTGCCACAGCCGCCAATGCAACAGCAGGAGCCGCCTCTGCTGCCGCAGATGCCACAGCAGCAGGAGCCACCGCAGATGCCTCAGCCGCAGATATGGATACAGCCGCAGCACCCGCAGCCGTGGATACAGCCGCAGCAGCAGTTGATGCAGCCGCAACAGCCGTGGATGCAGCAGCAAACTATGACGTATTATATATACGAAGAAAATGTTTAATTTGTTTACAATAAATAAAAAAAAAAACCTTAAAAATAACTTTATTAATATTCAGAATTTCCTAAAAAAAAATAATATAAAAGCTAGTTGGCGCCGAATGGGATTTCCGCCGTTTTCTTGGAAACAAAAGCGCCGTTATATTAGACCCTGCCAACCTATTAAATAATTAAATAATTAAAATATCTGTCACTCGTTTTATACATGGCGATGAATAAATAGTTTGTAATTAGGCTCACAATAAAAATCTATAATTTGCTTCTATATTTATATATATATAGATAATGACCCAAATTGTAGAATATTTATTTTATATAAATAACATGTTTACAAAATATTCATCGTCATGTGTACTATTACTTATTTTCATAAGGTGGCATCTTTATGTTCCCATAGGTTGGCTTTCTACATAAGTTGGCAGCCCCTAACATAGCGGCACTTTTAATTCTGACGCCGAAATTTACCATCTGTAAAAAAATATTCTTATTAATTAAATTTATTACTATTTATGTAGTTATATATATTTATAAATATATTTTATTATACGAAGATAAGAAAAAACAATTTCAAATGGCTCCAGGAATCGCAATCTAAGCGTAGCACAGAAACTAGCGTAGAGGATGGAATGAGTGTGGAAACAGACACTGCAAGCGCTACCTTCGAGAATCCCTCGGTAACTCAATGATTTACATTAGTTCTGTTTAAAATAAAATTAACATAAGTCTATTTTTTATAGCATGGACTGACGACTCGACACGTTTTCCAGCGTTGCGGAAAAATTATTTCCATACGTTTAAGAAATTTTATGTGCCACTCGAATTTAACCATAAACTTTCACCACATATCAATTTTCTTGTTGGCAGCAATGGTAGCGGCCCTTGCATTAGGGCTAGCCGGCAATGCACGCAACACAAGTCGCGCCAAGTACGACGTTTATGGTCCACACATTACGGTCGTACGCCAAATATGCTCAGAACAGATGCGTTTCCAAGAAACTGGACAAAATACGACGCCTGTTGCTTTAATTTGGCATAAGTGTTGAGAATCCGATCTTTGTGCTCAAGCTTCGTGCGAATTTCTCAAAGAGTAGGTATACTTAATTACAAATTCAAGATTTAAATTTAAAATAATATTATGAAACCCTAACCTACAGCCTGGAGCCGGCATCAAACTATAAATTGCTTATGATGGCGGCACAGCTGGATTTATGCGCGGCCAGCTTGACTCAGTGCCACGAGCAGCGCGAGCATATTAATTACGACCTGGAGCTGCTAAAAAAAAGTAAATCTTTATTTAAAAACACAATACCTATAAATAAATAATTACTTTCACTGTGCAGAAAAAGGAAAAGTTGAAAAAACTGTGCCACGAAGAAGAGGAAAAGTTGGCATTAATTATTTTTTTTTAGGAAATTCTGAATATTAATAAAGTTATTTTTAAGGTTTTTTTTTTTTATTTATTGTAAACAAATTAAACATTTTCTTCGTATATATAATACGTCATAGTTTGCTGCTGTATCCACGGCTGTTGCGGCTGCATCAACTGCTGCTGCGGCTGTATCCACGGCTGCGGGTGCTGCGGCTGTATCCATATCTGCGGCTGAGGCATCTGCGGTGGCTCCTGCTGCTGTGGCATCTGCGGCAGCAGAGGCGGCTCCTGCTGTTGCATTGGCGGCTGTGGCACCTGTGCCGGCTGTTGCATCTGCGCCGCCTGTTGCATCTGCGGCGCCTGTCGCATCTGCGGTGGCTGTCGCATCTGCGGCGGCTGTTGCATCTGCGGCTGAGGTACACGCCTCTGCTGCGATAACTTTGCCACTTCTTTTTTAATGGCTTTAATTTGCCTCTGCTGCGCCCTAATTAATTTTTGTTGCTGCTCGACTTTGTTTGCAAGAGCAGCAATGTACGAGGGCTGTCGAGGTTTAAAAATTTTATTTTTTTTAATATTTGGAGAACCCGCCATTAAAAAGCCCACTCGTTCGTATCTCATTTTTAAATATTGCCACCATTTGAAATATGTTGCAATATTGCCACCATACCACATCATGAAATATAATATTGCCAGCTAGTTTTTTTGCATTAACATAGGGAATAATGAAAAAAATAGAAATATGAGAATTTCATGAAAACTGGCTGGACGATTTTCTTGATGTAAAAAGCAAAATGATTGATAATTCGCGATCTATATGTTAAACTACCGTGCATTTAAGGCCATTATCGGAGGAATTAAATATAAATATTGATAAAATATCGTCGCCATTTTGATAAATAAAAATGTTAAGGAAATATTGCCAGCTAGTTTTTTTGCAATAACATGGGGCATAAATAGAAAAATGAGAATTTCTTGAAAACTGGCTGGACGATTTTCTTGATGTAAAAAGCAAAATGATGGATAATTCGCGATCTATATGTTAAACTACCGTGCATTTAAGGCCATTATCGGAGGAATTAAATATAAATATTGATAAAATATCGTCGCCATTTTGATAAATAAAAATGTTAAGGAAATATTGCCAGTTAGTTTTTTTGCATTAACATAAGGAATAATGAAAAAAATAGAAATATGAGAATTTCAGGAAAACTGGCTGGACGATTTTCTTAATGTAAAAAGCAAAATGATTGATAATTCGCGATCTATATGTTTAACTACCGTGCATTTAAGGCCATTATCGGGGATAAATAAAATTAGGATGAATAATATGTTGAAATATTGCCACCTTTTTGTTATTGTACTGTGTATAAATACATAAGTGCACTGTTGCCTTATTTAGCAGCAGTCTATATTTCCAAAGATAATGTTTTATTGTAAAATACCAATTATTTCATTTATTACTTCTTTTCTTTCCCATATACAAATATTTTGAATTAATTTGTTCCCGCTCAATACTGTATAAGATTATTCAACACTGATTCCAAGCAGTGGTTCGGTTCACGTTGGAACTAGTAGCTCGATAGGCATTTTGAAAGAACAACACAAGGTGTGTTTACATTTTATTATTTTTCTAAAAAACTGGCTGATCGATTTGTTTAGAATTAGTGCGTAAGGCTTCTTAAAACATGTATCTTCAAGTTAGTATAGCGTGCATTGAGGGCCATTATCCCTGAGAAAAGATATTAGGGTTTAAGTGCAAGACCAATTTTTTACGAACATTTTGTATGGGGCTAGCAACGAGGTTGCTGCACTGCTGTACAAATATCTTAAAAACGTGCTGATCGATTTCTATAATTTTTTCAAGGTTGGTTAGGTGAAACTATTGGCTTTAATCGTGTATATGCGGTTTTCGAGGCCATTATCCCTGAATTAAGATATATAGAGAATGGTGGAAACCTCATTTTTCAACCCCTTTATATACCCATATTATAAATTAAAATTCCAAAACAAATGAATGTAGACAGTAAATAATTTAATTTTTTGCAATTCTGCATTAAAATTTATTGGGTTTTGTGCTTAAAAACATTAATAAATGCATTTAAAAGTGACCGATTCCTTTTCCGATACCAAGTACCAAAAATCGACGCTAAGTCACCGCCGCTAATTTGACGCACATCTCAAAAAACATGATTTCGATATCGATTATTTAAAAACGGGGCAAGTTATCGAATATCGGAAACACAGTTGATCTGCTCGGGCACTAGGAGGACCTACAGCTTATATCATTTCAAGTCTCTAGGTTCTGAGACAGACGGACGGACAGACAGACAGACATGGCCTGATCGACTTGGCTATTGAAGCTGATCTGCCTGTTACATACATTTGCACGAATACATTATACAAATAAAATATAAATATGTATGGTTAAATTAAGCACGAACACAAAAATTAAAAATGCAAAAAACTGTACATGCCAAACTTAAACTGCCTAAGACATTTAAGAAAGTTTCGAAACTTCCTAAAGAAAAGGACCAAGTCCCACGCCGGAGGACGCCAGCTAGGCCCTCCAAAAATTTATCGGGCCAGAGATCCTTTAGAGATAAAGATTTAAATCATTCATGCACTGAAGGGAAACGGCCCAAGATCTGTTGCCACGGCGAGTAATACGCAATCCCGATTATTAAATATATGCACAAAATACATTCTTTTACCATCGCCCTTAACCAACCCCTGAGGGCTCTTTATGCAGGATAAGATAGATTAAGCGATTAAGTACATTTGCATGCCACGTATATAATTATTCTAGCACCTATGTATATATTTTTATTTATTTGGGTATTTTGCTTCCCATTGGTGCAAAGAGAATATTTGGACTCACATATATCCGTGTTGTCTTGGGGACGTTTGGCTACAACTTCTGGCAGTGTTCTCGCGCCCGGTTTGTAACGGTTGCCGTTTTCAGATTTAAACTAACCGCGTAAGCGATCCTTACAGCTTGCTTTTTTATAACGAAGCTGTATCGACTAGCTTTTGTTTGTCACTGTCAGCTGCGACAGTTTCTGCCGCTGCGACAAAGCGCCTGCGTGCACGTTGGCAGCGCAGCTATCTTCAATTTAACCCGCGAAAGAAAAAGCTCTAAACCCTATATAAGCCCTTAAATTAAATTAAAAAAACATTCGGGTATCAGTCGTATACATTTAAATTACAATTAAACTGAACACAAAATCCTAAAAGACGCCCAGGAGCACCTGACCGGCATATACATTTTTGTGTCGAGCTCTGGTCGCAGCTCTAACAGTTCTGGTCTGCGTGAAAAATTCAATTTGGACGCAATCAATCCTGCCTCCTCCGCATCTGAGTGCAAATTATTTTTCAAGACAAACGCTACGTGTGGCAATTGGAGGGGACGGCTCTGTAATTTCTGCCCCCTACTGAATAGACGTCTGCTTTAACTGTGGATCAGCTGCCATTCTTTTACTCACGCCAGCAAGCAAGGGCAGGCGCCGCTTCCACATTCCGAAATCCGGCAGACAGAGTAGCTTTTGGTGCTCCATTGACGCGCAGTCAATGTGTGTTAACTTCAGACCCCCGAAAATTTGATGAAGTGCATTATTTAAACCCTCTAACTACAGTGCAAGTGCAGTGAAAAAGAAAGTATATATTTCTATATAGAGAGAGAAAAAAAAGAGTAAATTCTAATACAAGTATTTCTCCCGTTGTTGTTGGGGTAGAGTCCAAAATAATTTGTGAATTTTTTATTTAATATATTGTTTTTAAGGATTTTGAATACTGTGCCATAATAAATAATCAAAATAATTTAAGATCCACAGAATATACATAAATGAAAACTGTTAATTATAAACACAGCCATTGATAAAAGCACAGCCAAACTGACATCGTTTTATGACCTTCTGTTTTACATTGCTCTTCAGCTCAGATCAATAAGTTTATGGCCCGTGTCAGTCTGGTGAATGCTTATCACATTTTATTCTTACTACACACCGCTCAAATAATAAGTAGATGCAACAAAAGCAACATAACGTAAAATAAAAAGACTTTTAAAAGAATCAAAGATATGTACATACACATACATATGTATGTATATTTGTATTGTCTAATCAGCTGGTTGCGCCGCGCTCTGATTTGCACATGGATTTCGAGTTTAACCCTCTGTTGCCCAACTTTGTACCGACCATACAATTAAAATGAATGAAAAATAATAAATTATTTTAATTAAATTTAATTAAACTTAATAATGTCATTTTTAAAGATAAATTAAAAAAAAAAAAAGTTCCCTTGGCAGGGTTTAAATTCGCAACTTGCTGCCGCCTCTACTCAACAGCCAATCCAGCGAAAAACAAGTAAGAGGTTCTAGTCGGGAGCTCCCGACTAGGGGATACCCTGAACCCTCTTATTCTTATATACACCAAATCAGCTCGCGCTACGCGCTCGTTTGCTTTAGTAGTAATAAAAATAAATTAACAAAAATAGGTTCCTACGTCAGGGTTCGAACTCGTAACTGACCGCATTACTTTCCGCTGCCTCTACTCAATAGCCACACCAATAATTAAATCTTAATGAGAAAAAAGCGAATTAAAATAGCAGCACAGAAAACAAGACAATCGCAATTGCAATGATGTTGACAGAATTCAAAGAAGACGCGCATGAATGTGTGTGTACATGTATACAGAAATTCTTGGAATTTGCGCTTGCTGCTGCATGTGTTTGCAGGCCAAAACTTTTTCTTTCGTGTTTCCTAACCGATCTTGATAAAATTTATATTGTAGGCAGCATAAATTGGTTTATTTTCTTGATTTATAGCTATGAGGCAATAGCGGGGAGGTGGTGATAGCTATAAAATAAAAGATACTTGATATATATATACTATTCTAGAAGCTACGTGTCCAGTTTGGTGACTCTAGCTCTTATTATTTACCAAACTTGCTCAAAAATCAGGTTTTCGATATCGATTTTTATCGATTACTTGAAAACGGGGCAAGTTATCGATTATCGGAAACAAACTCGATCTGCGCATGGACTAGGATGACCTACAGCTAACATTTCAAGTCTCTAGCTCTTATAGGTTCTGAGATCCTTGCGTTCATACATACGGACAGACGGACGGACGGACATGGCTAAATTGACTCGGCTGTTGATGCTGATCAATAATATATATACTTAATGGGACGGAGATGCTTCCTTCTCACTGTTACATACATTTGCACAAATACATTATACCCTTTTTACCCATTTTCAATGGGTTTAGGGTATAAAGAAATAGTCTCCTCGATAGGGTTCGAACTCGCAACAGATCGCACTACCTACCGCCGCCTCTACTCAACAGCCACACCACTAATTGAGTTTTGATGAGAAAAAAACGAATTAAAATAGCAGCACAGAAAACCATACAACCGCAATCGCAATTGCAATGCTGTTGATAGAATTCAAAGCAGACGCGCGTGAGTGTGTGTGTGTACATGCATATAGAAATTCTTGGGATGTGCGCTAGCCGACCTTGATGAAATTTTCAGCAGTACATC